GTTTTTGTTTTAAAGAACGATGATTACCTTCGACCTGCCTTCAAGAGAACGTTCCAGAAGGATACCATCACTCTAGCTAGCACAATTGTATTCAAGTAGAGTGAGTCTTCACGTTTACAAGCCAAACGCAGTCATGCAATCGATATGCAATCAGGAAGGCAAACAAATTTAAACACGGACTGTATCCTCAAACTTCCCGACATGAAGCCGCCAAGGCAAGAACCAGCCGATGCAGACCACTTGTTTCAAGCAGCATGCTCCGGACAGTCCACATTCACGGCGTCACTAGCAAATGAGGGTTTGCAAGAATTGATTTAGCTTTCCAGACTATTTTGGAGTCATCCAATTTGCAGGCAGTGCATCATGCTCGAACGGACATTCTGGAATCGTGTCTCCCCTTCACTTTGTTCCCATCTGGAAATGTGTCAAAACCAACCGTGACTCCGATCCTGTGGACAGGGTCCCTAACTTTATTTGTTTGTTTTGTTCGTTGGGTTGTTTCATTTGGGTTGTCATCTCTTCCCCGGTACTAAAAACAACTAAAAGCAACCAAGCTTCTAAGAACCCCAACAACTAGCCAACTACAAATTGCTGAAAGCTTTCTGGTCTCTGCCCAGAATCTGGGGTGAGGCAGCTCTATGCCAAGATTCGGTTGAAGGTTCCGCTGTCGGGGATACCACCAAATTTCGGGTGAGCCACCAAAAAGCAAAAAACAAATTCAGCCCAGGAGCTTGCCTCGCGGGGCAGCCTGGTGCTGCCTCTGCTGCACCTGCGCCGTACCCGCGGCTCTGCGACCTTCCGCGCCGTGGGCCGGGCCCTCGGGTCGCCGGGGCCTCAGGAGCTTCCAGCACGTTGCGGCGAAGTGTTTCGGGAGTCCCGGGTCGCGGTGTGAACATGTGTTAACTCGTAGCACAAAGTCAACCTCCATTTGCTTAAGAATAAGTTTGTTGTTTTCCCTTGTTGGACTTAGAAGGAAGTCATCACTACTGGGAATATGCTTATTTTTTTCCTGGGGCCTAACCAAATGGAAGTCAAGAGGCACAACTAGTCGTTCATCTTTCAAAGACACCCTGACAGTCCGCAAATTCAAATGGCAGAACTATTCGTTCGCCTTTCAATTGTTCCAGACAGTCCGTTATTGAAAGCTGATAGACTAAGGGGCTGAATGAGCGGAATGCTACATTATTCAGTATGTGCTGCCTGTTGGTCAACATATTTCCTGGTCCTGACCTTGGCAATTGTAGACTTCCTGGCAAAGAAGCAGGGCATGGAGTGCACAGAGGATCATGGCATCATGGACTTGATGTCCCTTCTTTTGTTTCAGGGTTGCTGCGGTGCAGAGAACGAGAGAAAAAGAGAGAGACAATAAGAAGCACGGTCAGCATCCCACTTCAGTCTGTGGAGTACTGGAGCCTTCTCCGCGCCCAGGACCCTTCGTGCGCGCTTGGCGCGGCCAGGAGGCGCGTGTGATGCACAACCAAAGCCCTGATCAGCAAACGCTGCTTTTTGTCCGGGCTCTGTGGCATGAAGCAAGCAAGGTGCCAAAGACCTCCAAGTCACCGCCAAGGCTGACTCCATGTCCATGGGATGAGTCAAGTGAAGGGATCACACGCACACCAAACAAGAAACAGCCCAAGTGTTGCTGCTGGTTAAGTCCTTGCGGCTAGCCGCAAGGTTGTGAGATGCTACCATGCTGAATAATCCACATTTTTCTTTGATTGCAGGGGATGCCATTTGGCAGATTTGGATGCAATCAAAGTCCCAATAAGGGATGTATTGCTGCGAGGCCGTGAGTTGTGAGCGCATGCACGCACACACACACACACACACACACACACACAGACCCGCACCCGCACCCGCACCCGCACCCTCACCCGCACCCGCACCCGCACCCGCACCCGCACCCGCACCCGCACCCGCACCCGCACCCGCACCCGCACCCGCACCCGCACCCCCGCACCCCCGCACCCCCGCACCCCCGCACCCCCGCACCCCCGCACGCCCGCACGCCCGCACGCCCGCACACGCAACGCCCGCACGCACGCACGCCCGCACGCCCGCACGCCCGCACGCCCGCACGCCCGCACGCCCGCACGCCCGCACGCCCGCACGCGCACGCACGCACGCACGCACGCACGCACGCACGCACGCACGCACGCACGCACGCACACGCACACACACACACACACACACACACACACACACACACACACACACACACACACACACACACACACACACACACACACACACACACACACACACATGCACCACCTGAAGCGTGCAAGATTGTGGACCATGCTCAAACGACGTGCTCAAACGTTGGAACTGCAGGCCACCACTTGGTCATCTTTACCATGGTTTACGGGAAACGCCTGGCACAGAGACTCAGCTGAATGCTTCCCAGGCTGGCTCCTTCCACACAAAAAAGCTCGCCTGCTGGAGGTATTTGCCGGCCTGGCTGCAGCGCATGCGGGCCTTTGGGCACGGAGGCCGCACGCTGGTATTCTGCTTGGACGAGACCTCGGAGGAGGCGTGGGTCGAGGTGCTTGGGGCAGTAGTCATCACTTGGTTCAGCCGGAATTTTGTGTAGCTTCGTGGCCGCTCACGCTGCAATCTTGGTAAAGGTATATCTTAACCTTGAGTTGGTTCTTTGGGCAGGAGGTTGTGGCGCTGGTTGCATGTATTATCAGTCAACTATGAGCCATCAACAAGAGAAAACAGCAGCTGTCTCTCAATCCTCACTAGGATCCGAGCCTGGACAATCGGAATGTTGGCTAGGCCCATGATTTATCTGCCATGGGGATGATCAATCAGGGCACAACACGACATGTGCGTCGCGAGTGTGGCAGGCTTGCCGCAGATGTCACGAGCCACTTCTGTGTGTGCGCGGTCGCGCCTTGAACAGCAGGGCTGGTTCCAAGGTGCCAGTGGGCCCAGAGGTGTTTGCTTGTTTTGTTTTCATGGCCCTTGCTCCGTGTACACAAAGTTGTTAGAGGAACCATGTGCATTGCTGTGTGTCCGTTTTCCCTCTTTCTCTCTCAACTGATTCCCCCTTGGTGTGAGCGAGGCACAAGGAACACATGTGGCATTTAGATGTCGCTTACATTTAGCATTGCAAAGGAACAGGGACTGGGAAGGCCGGGATAGGGGATGCTTTTGGGAGCCGCAAGACTTCGGAATGACTTACCGGCCATATCACGGACCTGCCCCCCATCCCCGTTCTTGCCCTGCACTGCTTCTGTGTTTGCCAGATATGGATGTTTCTTGAAGAAGAACGAGAGCGGGGAACCGGTCTGTAATCAATCGCTGTTGCCGAGGAGAGCAGACTGCAGCCAACAAGTTCCACATGATGTCCGTCATTGTGAACGACGGATTTGATGCCCTTTGGCTGATGCCATGATTTTTCCAAAGAGCATCATGCCTGGGATGCGCAGCTTGGAGTGGCAGGACTTGTCATGCACTTGGAGGTTGTTCCACCTTGGCGTTGCCTTTTTCATTTGTCCCCTAACATGGCGTTTCACCTTTGGCTCGGCGCATTTTCTGATTTGGGTATGGGTCAAAATCAAAGCACCAGGGGACCGCAGGTTTTAGTCCTTGGTTCCATTTACTAGGGTTCCAACATAGATACCCATTTTTGATGCACCGGCTTTTTATGGTAGAGATGTGGAGTGCCGCCTCCCGCTCAGATTCAATGATTCGCGCTTTAGGTGCTTTACTTGGACTTCGACGTTGTCCTGCTGCAAGATCCAGTGCCGCCGGTGCTGAAAGCAGCAGAGCAGGCGGAGACCTCTGAGTGTCGAGACGCAAACACACGCTGGAAGTCCACTGTGCTGTGCAGTCGGCATTCTTTGCGCAACAAACCCAGGACATTCTGTCTGCGGGCGAGATGAGGCTTGATGTTTCTTTGGCACTCGCCATTCTTGCAATGTTTAAGTCTAGTTCTCGCTCGGCGCCCAACAGTCTCAGAGAGTGACTTCCGCAAGAGATGCCCTTCGCCACAAGGCCCTGTCTTCCTGGCTGATTCATGCTTGAGGTTGGACATTTGGCAGATCGGGCATTCAGATGTTCAGTTTGTTCGGGCAGAATACAGCGGAATCTCACCCAAAGCGCCATACTTAGGCACGATTTGCTTCACCCACTGCTCATGGTGAAAATCTTCCATCCAGCTCTGTTTTCCGATTCTGAGTCAATCCACTTGCAGAGTTGTGTCCCCGAGCTAGTGGAGCATGTTCTTTCCATCCTTTCTTCCCTTTTTGTGGAGCTGAGGGTTGTTTTTTGTTGCCTCCCAGCTGGCCCTGGTTTTTGCTGAAGGATTCCCTCCCAACTGCCGGGGTCACTGTTTCACCATTGCCAGGCAGAGCTTCTGGTGTCCCGGGATTTGGGTAGCGAGTGCCTCAACATCGGCGCAGCTTGGCAGAGCCGCTGTGGGCGGGGCCCAAAAAGGGCACCGGGTTCCTTTTGGCTTCCCCTTGAAGCCGAACTGAACCGCGTACCTTCAAAAGAGACACAAAGTCACACATCCATTTTGTTGGTTATTTCAAGGATTGCTGCTTTACATGAGTTTGTTTCTCGGCTCTAAGAAGGATATATGCCCCAGCAAGAAGACTACCATGTTCACCAGGGGGTGTTAGTCAATGAAAGTCACAAGTCATTTTGCAAGGACTCTTAAAATAGAAAAGACATCCAAGCCATGCGGCTAGGGAAATCACGCAGAAATTCCATTTAAACTGGTTGAGGGAAGTGCACTCCCATGTAAATGATGTCCACCAACGTTTCCGCAAGTAGGAAATCATACCCATGTGGCTGTGGGTCAAAACTAATGGTACCATTTTGGGGTAGGTGAATTCACCACCCATTTTAGAAACCTATTTTAGTGGTTGGATTGGGTCCCGTTCACCGGGCTTTGGATTTTGACCCATGGCCATGGGCCCTGTGGGTTTGTGGATGTGGTGAAGCAACGCCAGGAGCCGGAGATAAAGTCACCTCCCGTCAGCAGTGTTGATCTACTCTCAGGTGTTGTACTTGAAGGCGCACCCAGATGTCGCGGCATTCCTCCAGGACGTTTTTCCAGCCTCAGGGTAGGTGATGCCAGCTGATTCAAGGATTCATGGTTGCTATGTGGGGTTCCTACAGGTTGATGCCAACCTATATTGCGTCGCTTCAGTGTGTTCAGTTGTTTGGTCCGCTCGCTTGCTTTTTTTGTTTAAGCTGCAGAGTAGAAGGCAACGCCCTTAGCCTGGTCTTTTGCATTCTTGCAATTTGTTGCGCAGCTTTTGGATGAATGTAGCCAATTGTATTTGAGGTGTGGCTTAAGGCAGCGCCCAATTGATGCGGGGTTGTTGGTTGATGCAGGTGATGTCAATTCTTAGTTGCCTGAGCCTAGAGAGTGAGTGGGGTGAGCACTTCTTCCCATAATCTTTGCACAAGCAACTTCCATATCTATTCAAGTGCTTTGTACGTTCAGCAAGGTCGATGTGTGTGTGTGTGTCTGTGTGTGTGTGTCTGTGTGTGTCATTGTGTGTCTGTGTGCTTGCTTGTGTGTGTGTGTGTCTGTGTGTCTGTGTGTCTGTGTGTCCGTGTGTCTGTGTGTCTGTGTGTCTGTGTGTCTGTGTGTCTGTGTGTGTGTGTGTCTGTGTGTGTGTGTGTGTCTGTGTGTGTCTGTGTGTGTGTGTGTGTCTGTGTGCTTGTTAGTGTTGTGTGTCTCCGTGGCCTTGTTTGTTTGTGTGTGTGTTCGTGCTTGTTTGTTGTTGTGGTTTGTTTTTGTGCTTTGTGTGTGTGTGTGTGTGTTTGTGCTTCTGTTCGTGTGTCTGTGTGTGTGTGTTCGCGGTGTTTTGTAGGTTTTGCGTGCAAGCGCTCGTGTGATTCTGCTTGTGTGTGTTTGACGTGGTGTTATTCTTGGTTGTCTCCCTTGCTTGCTTGTTTGTTTCTATGATTGCTTGTTTGTTTTGCTTTGTTTGTTTGTTTGTTTGTTTGTTTGTTTGTGTGCATACTATACTTAAACTCGTCTGGCACCTGGTTATGCAGGATGCTGTTGTAATTTGTGCGTACGTTTTTGGGGTAGCCTCTTTGTTGAGTCAAGCTGTTTGTTTGTCTGTCTTCCTGCCTGCCTGTTTGCCTGCCTGCCTGTCTGTCTGTCCTGTCTGTCTGTCTGTCTGTCTGCCTGCCTGCCTGCCTGCCTGCCTGCCTGTTTGCCTGCCTGCCTGCCTGTCTGTTTGTCTGCTTGCCTGCCTGGCTTGCTGGCTGTCTGTCTGTGTGTCTGTCTGTCTGTCTGTTTGTCTGCCTGCCTGCCTGCCTGTCTGTCTGCCTGCCTGCCTGGCTTGCTGGCTGTCTGTCCGTCCGTCCGTCTGTCCGTCCGTCCGTCTGTCTGTCTGCCTGCCTGTCTGTCTGTCTGTCCGTCTGTCCGTCCGTCCGTCCGTCGGTCTGTTTGTCTGTCCGTCCGTCCGTCCGTCCGTCTGTCTGTCTGTCTGTGTCTGTCTGTCTATTTGTCTGTCTGTCTGTCTGCTGTGTTTGTCGCGGCCCTCTGTGTGAGGCTCTAAGTCTCTGTCCTGTTTGTCACCGTCTTTTTTCTGCATCCATTGTTTGTCTGTCCGTCCGTCTCTGTCTATGCCTTTGTTTTGTTTGTTTCTGCCTTTGTTTCAATTGTTTCTGCTCTGTCTCTCTGTCTCTGTGTCTCTGTGTCTCAGAGTCTGTCTGCCACTGTTTGTCACTGTGTGTCACTGTTTGTCACTGTCCGTCATTGTCTGTCACTGTCTTTCACTGTCTGTCACTGTCAGTCACAGTCTGTTCGTCTTGTTTGTTTGTGCCTGTCTGTTTGTTGTTTCTTTAATTGTGTGCGTGCCGTTGTGTTTGTGCGTGGGCGCTTGTTTGCTTCAGCAGTTGTTCTCGCAGGAGCTTATCATTTGGCTTTGGAACCATCCTTATGAGTTCTGCCAGAAGGCGCTGCTAAGCTTCAACAAGCAGCGGGGTGTTTTGCTTGCAAGAGACTGTGGTGTCCAATGCGGCTTCCATTTAAGCTAGCTAACAGGTGTTTGAACAATTGACGTGATTTGTTGTGGCATGCATTTGGTATGCAAGAGCACCTGGTATGATGATGGTTTGAGCGTGTGCTCAGTTGTCTGTGTGTGACGCTGACATGCTGCTTGAGATACTTGGATGCCATTCATATGAGGTTTGCCGGCCTGCTCGGTGTTGAGGCGGCAGGGGTGGGTGGATGAATTGTGCTTTGTGCAAGGAGACGGCTTTGAGGCCTGCTAATGTGTTGGTACCTTAAGGTTCATTTGAAGGCTTTGACATAGTGGCTCTTGCGGGACTTGCTGTGGGAGTGACATGTTGTCATGCTGCCCATGAAATTGACTTGAGTGGCCAGTGAGACAAATAGAACTGCGTGACTTATTAGTGAGTCCGTCACGAGTTTGCTTTGCCCGGCTCTGAAGGCAGGCGGAACCAATGCCAGTGTTGACACTGATTAGCAGAACAGTTTGGGTTCCTTGGAGAGGTCTCTTTTTGGCTTTCAGATTATAGAAACTCGCTCTCAGTTGGCATACTGAGCCGTCCCACGTCGGTGGATGTGGAGTTGTCCTGCTCACGGGTTGAAGGCAGGTTGACTTACCTGGTTGCTGGTGAGTTCTTGGACTTGGCTTCCAGATCGCGTAAACTGCACGTTGGACAGACAGCATTTCAACTTTGGGATGACCTTCGATGTTGGCACTGCTGCTTTGAACGTTTTGTTGAGCACATTTCTTCGGAGGTACGCATGCAGCGGTACTGGTACAATGCGTTTGCAGCGGCAGTTTGAAGCAGAGGTACTCAGTCCACAAGCATTCGCTCGCCTTGGTCCATTGTTTGGCTTTCACAGGCCAGAGCGAAATAGGATTCCAAGGACGACAAGAATGGACTGCGAATTGGTCGACAGAAACCTCTCTGGAATCTAGAATGCGCATGGCAGCATGTTGCGCAAAGTCGCGGGGTGTCTACATGCCCCGTGACACCATGCGCACATCCAATTGGGGGATTAAAAAAGCCGCCCTCGCAAAGGCTGTCAAGTGACCTTACCCATGGAAGATCCTTTCTTTTGCCCGGATGTTGCTTTGGCAAATGAGAAGATGTGCCTAGGTCCCCCAAGTACTGCCCTTGTACCCTTTTTTGGAGGAGGGTTGCTAAAAAATTGGGTGGCCTTATTCTAACCTCTCTACTGGAGGACCCAGGTGCCCAGCTTCGTGTCAATTCTCGTTCAAGTGGGTACCCCAGGACCTGCATTGGAACGAGATGTTCGGAGACCTCGGCAAAGCCCCGCGCTGGGCTATCCTCGACCCGGTGAATGCCTTTGTGAGCAGCCGCGTGGCAGTTTTGGGCGAGGTGAGCCATACCGTACCCCAGGTTGGTTATACGGTGCCTACAAATAAGTGGAGGGCGGGCCGGAGCGGAAGTCGTAGGTAGTATCGAATATCAGTTTAATTACTCAAAGAAACCGGGTGTTTAATAAATGTGGGCGCCGTAGCTTAAGCTGGGACAGAGGGGAAAGGGGAAGTCATGTTGCTTGCCATTGGTGGGTTGCTTTTGTCATGCCGGTTTCAACTTTGGTCATGCAACCTCCATGTCTTGAAATGTTTTACAGAATCATGCTTGAATAGCTTTCTGACTGCAACTGGAAGCATTTCTTTGTCGTTGCAGTGCTGTTCGATCCCCGCTCTGGCAGTTGTTTTGACGGTGGACTCGTGCGAAGCAGAGCACTAAGTGTGTCCTACGCCTCCCAAGGCGGCCCGTTGACGCCTCTCTCGTTTGCCTGGCGACATTGAAACGCAATCAAGCCCTGAGATGTAAACAACTTTGCTGCCTTAGCCCTAAACCAACCAGCCGAAACCTGAACCACACCAAAAGGGTTAAATCCCAAGCCAAGCATTATTCCCCAGTCTTAGACAAGCCAACGCATTGGCCGATTTTTTGCCCAACCAGCTCCACATCAGCAGTTAAGCACTTTTGCCTTCAAGTACGGTATCAGAAAGCTGGCCATCTCACTAGTGAGCTATTCCAACGGGCAAATGCTCCTACAACACATTCCGCCGGGAAATTCCACAGGCGGACCGTTTTCCGGGGTCCTGAACCATGGAGGCCGCAGGAGCATTGAGGATGTTGAGCAAAAGGGATGAATAGATGAGGCTTAGATGTGTTCTGTCAAATGGCGTCCGCGACCATTGACCTTCCAGGCCCAACCAAATACGGATACGTGTTGAGACTGCAAGACTGGTAGGTTTGCTTGCTCAGACAACACTGTATACTATAGTATACTTGACTGGTGTATATATTATATGTAGTTTCGCAGAGGCGAATGGTGCCATCAAGCAAGACACTAGCTAAACTCATGTTGTCGCCACGCTGCGAGGCATTGTTTACTCTGGCGACGTGCAAGGATGGACAGGCAAGGTGGGAAGACACAATTTATATGTAGTTGTGTGTTTGCTCCGTCACGTGCATTATTGCTGTCAGAAGTTTGGTGGTTGCTATTCTCACTGAAGAAGCTATGTTGTCGCGCCTCGCTGTTTTCAGATACTGTACTTGGCTTCGTTGGCTTCTTTTGCAAAGCAATGATGGACGGAGAGTTTTGAACCTGCACTTTCAGCCTGCTCGTTGGCAGTGTGCTAAATTGGAATCAAGACAGTTCCCATTCCAGGCGACCTGGAGAATATCATCATTTACCACTTTCTGGATGCGTCGGGTGCGGTGGACACGAAGTTTGCGGCCACTTGGCTTGAATTGCCAAGATGGACCAGTGCAGAAACGAGATAGAGTCGTTTGACAGCGACCTGCTTTGAGGATGGCAGCAAGAAGTCCTTGGGCGTGCTTCAATCATTCAATAACACAGACACACACACAGCCTTGTAGAGGTTTATTGAGCCTTGCTGGAGCCCAAACCTTATGCAAAGCGGCCTTTGTCATCCCTCTAGTTTTTAAGCATCTTCCATTTTGGGGGGGGGGGGGGGCGGGTTGATGGGTTGACAGACCCACACTGTGAGTCTTAGATGGGACCAAGGTAGCTGGCCGATATGTTAACCTGCCTGGGCCCCAGTGAGGGGGTTTAGAGGAAGGTGTTTGCGCCGAGTGAAGTCAGGGAGACCCCATACGTATCACAAGCAACGCCCGACCTTCAAGTTTTCAGTATCATGGCTTACACATTGCAAATGGATTAGTGAACCAAGCGACTACCATCGTTCGTGGTAGCAGTGCGTCATGCTCTTGATTGGTGCTGACTAAGCAAATGTTGACTTTGGCAGCATTTGGCCGCATCATGTGCTTGCTTGGTTGAGTTGGTTTCATGTCTGGCCTCGGCCTAGGGCTTGCTTCAATTGGCTCGTGGTCGCTGTGGGTTGCAAACTGATGTTCGGATTGGTGCAGAGTGGCCCAGTACATCAACAGTGATCCGCATGCCAAGAGGACCTCACAAAACCAAGTGCGACGGACTTAAAGGAGCCGCCCCTGAAGTGCCGCCTTGAGCTTCCGAAGTCAGAGAGCTGGAGCATGGGCCAACAGGTTTGAGGTCAGAGAGTCAAATTCGCTGCCCAAGTGCTTTCTTGTGCCTTGAGCAGAGTTTTCCCTATGTTTGGGTAGGTTCCTCTAGCATTCGATGCCCCAGCGGAGTTTTCCCCACGGTTTGCATAGGTTCCTCCAGCATTCGATGCCCCGCATCGCCTGCGAACTGAGCTTTGGCAATTGCAGGTTCGACCTCTTCTATGCCAATCCAAAGCTCGATTTGGCAGCGCCAGTCTCAGCTGGCATCACCACTGAAGTGGCCCAGATTTTGACTGCTATTGGCTTGGATCTTTAGACTTTAACTTTTTGGTTGAAATCAAGTTGGGCTTTCCACTAAATCGCCAAAAAGTGATTCACTTTTTGCAGGGGGGTCAACAGCAACCAAGATAATGACTTGGCCATGTCAAGAGAGTGTAAGCCTTCAACCTTATGTTGGGGTGACCCGGATATTGGATAGGTTGTTAGATGTCTTACCTCCCCTGGGCCTTAGTCCACACGCAGCACAGCATAACCTTGTGTTGAAGTGAGCAGTCCTTAGCGTCTGACATTTTGGGTTATTAGATATCTTACAGCCCCAGGTTCTGGCACCTGTCCCAGCATTCGCAGGGACAACAAGTTCAGAGCTTTTGCTGGAAGCTGCTTTTGCTGGGTGCAGCTCGATGAGGCATGCCAGGCTTCATTTGAAAGTTGAAAAGGCAGCCCTGTGCGGACATCGTGGTTTGATCCAGCTTTCCATTCTGTGCATCTCAGGACGCTACTACACCCCTCTTCCAACAGGCAGGCTGCGAGTTCGCATACGTGAGTCACTGCGAATCCAAGCCGACGCAGACTGGGTCTCTATTGCCGGTTGCGGACACAACGTTCACCTTGTTTCGGTAAATCGGTTTAACCTGCTTCCGAGATAGCCAAGACATATTTGATGGTTTCCGGGCAAGGTTTGTGGTGACAAGCTGTTAGTTGCCACCTCTGATACCAGAAAGCCTCCCCCTTAAAGCGAAGAATCAGTCCTTGCAAAGGCCTTACAGCAACATCGCAGAAGTGGGCATAAGTGGGCAACTCTCACAACTGTTCCTAAGCAGGACTATAATTCCTTGTTTGTTGTTTTCACATCATCACTTGTCAATGACTTCACGAGAGTACAAGGCTACGACACTGTGAATGGCTGGTCTGAGGAGCATTGGGACGGATGGCAGTCGCTGCTCGTAGGTTTGGACAACTAATGCCCGAATCCTTGGTGTAGATGCATCATCGAGGCCGTGTAGGCAATACGGGGACGGGAAAGGGCAAAGGCAGCTCGCAAGTGTTTCCTAGATGTTGATGTATTCCCCCACATTTTGTTTAGAGGAAGGCCACTTGGCTCATGGCCAATGATTTTGGATGTGCTTTGTTTGAGTTGTGATTGCTTGTTTTCCAGAAGACAGTTCTGTTGGCTGGTTGTTTTTGCTCAATGCGGTTGCGAGCACTGGCAGTTTTCCACCAGACTCCGACCAGACACTTGTATGGGTGGTATCCTGAATCCTTAGTGCTTGTTTGGTTCCTGGCTTCGTCCCCAGGGTGTTTCGGTATCTGCGCTTTCCTCCCCAAATACCAGAGAAACAGTTCCCACCTGGTGGGAGGGGGATGTTTTTCCTTGGTGGTTCCCAGCCATCCGGTTCCTCAGCTTTTTAGCCTTTTAGTGTTTTTGGTGGGGGATTTCCATTTAACCCACTAAAAGTTATTCACTTTTAGCGTGGGAACTCGGAACTGAAAACGGACAGCCCAGTTTCTGTGCTCCCTCTTGTGAGGTACCAATTCACTCGTCCTTTTCCTACCCGTTGAGTCAGGACCCGCAGGTTCAAGACGAACTGCTTGGCTCGCGGCTGCCTGCAGCGCCAAGTGTTTCGGTCTGGGCCTTGTGAGCGGGGTGATCGCAGTCTGCTGGCTTCGTGGTCCGCTTGCTTCCTGTCATCCTGCACCTTCGTTCTGCTAAACCACTGGAATTCGGTAAATCGTAGGGGTCTCCTAAAACACCCAGAAGTTTTCCGGAGTTGGAAGGTCCAGGATGCTTGCATGGGTATGTCTCTCTTGGCGTTTTGTTGCCTTTGCGTGCCACCGGGTGTTTCAGTTTCGGCAAGACATCAGCAGGCGAGCAAAGGACGGCTGCCGGTATCACGATCGAGGCAACATTGCGCGTAGGGCCACGCAGCAGCTTTACTGCATGCCATGGCCTTGTAGAGTTCTTTATCGAGGCAAAAGCTAAGAACATTCTGAAAGTTGATGTCATGAGATTGAGGAGTGCCTATCAATCGTGTCAATGACAGCTGTGGTTTGGGCATTTCTCAATACCTTCTGGGCAGCAACTGTGCGAGTAAGGCCATGCTTCCATTGATGCTTTGCCAGTCACGTGAACCAGCAAGCATGACTGCACCTTCCAGAGGATTTCCACATTGAACTTCTTAGTCATTCTTGCACCATAGCTCACACCCCTGTATACTGACTTGCAACAGGGGTTCAACCATGGTCTTTTTTGGAGTCTCTACCTCGCATCCAAGAGAACTTCCAGGCAATACCCCCAGACAAAATGCGAGAATACACTCTTTCTAGGGGTACCTTCCCCATTCTTTCCAGTGATCCTTCTTTTCAGGAAACCATCAAAACCCCAGAAGAGACAGCCGGTTTTTGAAAAGAACGATGGTTGAAAAGAATGGAAAAGGAATCAAGTGGTCTGAGAGTGGCGAGCCAGGCTTGCGGCAACCTGCCCAGCAGTGCCCATCCCGCCTGGAAGCGCCGTCAGAGGGCACGGACCAAAACGCTGGCGCTGGTTTGCTAGAGTGATTGGGGCCAACGCGTAGGCGTTCTGGGAGGTTTGTTGAATCCTGTATAATATATTGAGAAATGCACATGCTTGCATTGTTTTACAAGATGCTGCTGCAAGCAGATCCTTGGCTACTAAATGTGTAGCCATGATTGTGTGTTTCTTTATGGTATTGCAGTCAGCAATTCTGAGGACAGACAAAAAACATGTGTTTCTATATGTTTCTATAAAGACTCCAGGCTTGAACATGTCATGTTTCAGGTTTCGGTCGCCGTCCGCTTGTTTCGAGGGAGGCACGTGCTTTGGAATTCTGGGCTTCGGGGCTTGAGGCTCCGAAGCTGAGGTCGATCGATCCAACTCCCAGCTTTCCCGTGGAGCCCGGCTCAAGAGCATTGGATAGACGGTGGTGGGGATGCTTTGCCACCGCTTGAGATGCTGGAAATCGGGGGATAGTGCAGTGAGAGGTAGCTAGTTACTGGCAAGGTTCTGTGAAGTTCTGTGACTGTCAGATGTGCGTGTCGTTGAGCCTCCAATGGGACAAGTTGCGCACGACCTTGTCCAAATTTGCGCAAAGCACATCGCCCCTCACCCGACGCAGCATCCTGCAAAGACCACAAAGACGACCACAATAGACCAATGAACCAATGCCGACCACAAGGACGAAGTCTTTCGATTGCACTGAGCTCATCAAGTTTATATAGGTTGCACAGTTTGTCAGCGTCTACGAAAATCTGTCCGCACCAGGTGCTCAACGTAGTGCGGCTTAGTCGAGATTTGGAGAAGCCTGCCACAGCTTGCCTGTTTGTTTGCAAAACAGACTAGCTATCACCTGTTACCATTCTCACATAAACCATTACCTAGACCATTAACTTAAACCATTGCCATTACCATTGCCATTAACCTACCATTTGTTAAACCACCATAAACAAGGAACACATAGGAGTCATGCGCCCTTAACCCATGAGCACCAGGTTTTCCTGTTGCTTCCGGTGAAAGAGCGTCTTGGGACCGACCCCCTGAATTGACATTGTTGCATTTCCGGCTGCATGGGCGCGCCATGCTGGCCGCTTGCCTCTTGGCCCCCGCCTGGGCGGAGCTTCCAGAGGAAAAGCCCGCGCCGCCGCCGGTGCACCCCACGGTGCCAGGCACGAAGTTTGGGACCCGACGGCTGGAGCCAGTCACTAAGCAACTTTCAGGAATGCTATGCCACCAACCTTTGAGATGGCATCTAAAGAGGTCTGGTTTGGACCAGTTGCCTCTAGACCCTTTGGGTTCCATGCTGGTGGGATGGTAGACCACCAGGCACTTGACATGAGAGTGGTATCTGTGCCAGGCAAATATCCTAGGCTGATGTTCGCTGAGGAAAGGCTTGGGATGCCATGTCGCTGAATCTCAAGGAAGCCCGAACATGTGCAACCAAAAGTCCGATCCAGGCAAAATTTGACATGGGTTACACATGGAAAATAGGCCGTACTCGTCAAGGCCCATGTCAGTTGGGGACAAAATACATGTGGACCGTGCTCAATTAGATAGATAGTTCCCTTGCACTTGATGGTTTTGGTATATGCAACTGCCACGTGGCAAAGCATGTGCCTGCTGACAGCTTTAAGCGGTCCACTAAACTTTAGTATCTTCAGTTGTGGTGGATGTGCATCAGCATTTTAAGTGAACCGTGTGTCTTAAGATGCTTGCAAACATTTTGTTTACGATACACTTGCTGACAAGCTGGTGATTGGTTTTGCTGGTCAAGTGAGCAGCCATAAGACGTCCGTGCAAAGCCCGATGCGAAGTGTGGCTCAACCGGCTGGTGCAAGTTCCGAAGTTCCACCGCATTTGCCATGTTGTTCCTTTTTTGTTGCCCGCATTCGTTAGTAGTGTGGTCTCACTGGAAGTCGGCACGACGGTCGGTGTTGGCACTGCGGCTGTGTTCTTGTCGTTAGCATCTTCGCCTGGACCTCCTCCGCCACCTCGGCCTCCTCAGCCATCGTCTGACTTTGGCCAGATATGTCGTGCCTTGAAGCCTCTGGAGGTTTACAGTACTGTGGATGGACGAAATCCTGCACCACTTGGAAACCATGAGAAACCATTGCTCGTTGGTATTTACAAAGGAATCATCATTCCATGGTTTCTTAGGTGGTGCGAAATGGATTTCGTCCATCCACAGCAAGACGGAGGAATTTTTCTCAGAATCGTCTCGCAGAGTCAACGAGGAGGAAGTCCGCAAGGCTCGCTCGAGGCGGCATTTTGAATCGCACGAGGGAGGCGCTCAAACTCGTTTGGGAGCAGATTGACCAGACCTTGGGAGCGGCTCTGAGGAATTTGCTAGATCTCGGGAGCCGCTGGAGCTTTACAGAAGAGGAAGCCGAGCAGGTTGTGAGCGAATTGAAAACTTGTTGTGGCGACTTGTGCAAAATAGATTGATTCAGCACACACCCAGGCAGTAGTGTTGCCCGAAGCGACGTTTGCATCAAACTTGCAGGGGGTTCCCATCAAAGGGTCATGTAAAAAGTCCCAATTGCGTCACAGAACCCTCGGCCGTTTGCTTTAGAGGATTGCCACGAGCGCATCAGGTGCAGGGTCGGAAAAGGCCAAGATGTCTGCCTTGCCCCCTTTGGTCGTTTGGTTTGATTCCCATGGACGCATCCTTGGTACGTTTGGACGCGGGTCAAAGCACAAGGAAGCCAGCGGTTCTGATTCACCACGGCTTTGTGACACGGAATATTGAACATCAGGCTAGGTTGCTTGGGTTCTTTTCAGAAGTGCTCGTTCTTTTGTTTTTTTAAAGCATATAGTTATTGCCCTGGCACATCTTTCTTTGTTCTACCTCGTGGTGTTGAATTAGGAATGTGGTTAGCCGAGCGGGCATTTCTGTTTCAGTCGGCAATTTCTATGAATCGACATGTGTAGATGGGCTTATCAACGCGTCCTTTGTGTCAGGGACCTGTGAGCAAGACGTGTCAGCCCATGCTCACCTCCTAATTAGCTAAGACCAAGTTCTCGTAAATCCAAACGTAGGTCGTGTCTGTCAAGATTCTCGAAAGGTGCGACCATCAAGCTGTCACCAACTGGGAGTCACCTCTTTGTTGGACCCCGGTGAACTATCAATCGCATAGCCCCCCCCAAAAAAAAAGAGAAGAGGTTTTAACTTTTCTAATGTTGGCAAAATCCGGTGTTGGGACGTTGACTTTGGAGCAAGCACCCCTCAGCTCTTGTGTGGAATTGCTAGCAATTCCAGAAATTGCGGGACCAGCTTGGCGGCCCCTAGATTTGGCAAATCATCTTTCGTTAAGCTAGGATTTACGAGCGGATCTGGAACTTATCCTGATTTGCAGGTTGCGAATTATGAAGAGCATTGGCTTTTTGTGGGCCTCTTTGAACGAGCTCTTGTGATTTTTTCAACTGCGAACTTTCCAGGCCGCCAAAGCCTACGAGAGCTTGTTGCTGAAATGCCCGAAGCGTCTCGAAAGCATCGCGGAATTGTTTTGTTTAAGATGGGGTGTTGCCGCAATATTGCCGCAGAAGTAAACTTCAGGAAGCACATGCCTACAAAAGTTAGTTGCGTGGTCGCAAAAGCATTGACTTCAAGGTTTTGCGAATGTGTGTGTTGTCAGTAGCGTATCTTTGTAAATCAACTTGTTGGGCTTAGTTCCGCTGGGTAGGCTGGATGTGGTGCATCGCCACTCAGTCAAAGCTGGGTTTGCTTGTGCATTCCCAAAGTCCCCGCAGGTGAGTTGAAGATGGCAGAGCCGAGTTGTTCCACACTGGTTATTGGGGTAATGAGAGCCTCCAGTACATAGAGCCTTGGTTGATGTGTTGTCCCCGCTTGCTTTCATGGAGTGACAACTCCTATTCATCAGCAACATGTGTGAAGCTTGTAGAGATGTCTATTGTCCGCACGAACGAGGTGCTGATTGTACCCTGGTGGACGATGAAAAAGACGTCCTGAAGTCACAGGGAATCCCCAAACCAGTTTCACAGCGAAGCTGGCCACTCAAGTCGCCAGGCTTCCACAGCAACAGTGCGGACCTGCTGCTGCCGGATTATGACTGCAATTTCCTGCCCGCGGAGATTCCCGCCACTTGGAGCTGGACCGCACCATTTTTATGGGGGGGCGGCGGCGCCGAGGGTTTGGTTTTTCGAGCGAACCATTTTGCGGAAAATGACCACAAACCCAGGGCACTTGAGTGGATTCCACAAAAAATGGATAAAGACAATGGAGGATCAACCTTTGGAGTTGCTGTTTGAAGCCAACGAGCTATACCACAGGGGCTTTCCTCTTTGGGGAATCAACTGCGCCACGACATTGACATGCTTTAGATCTTTCTGTGGCAAAATTCACCCTGTCCGTAGGGTGTTGGAATCAATTCGCGGGCACTTGCCCGACCCACAGCGTCCCTTCAGATGCTTCGCATGAGCCCCTCAAAATGTCAAGGCGCCTTCGGATGTGCTGTTCTGTTGTATTGGCACTAGAGGGCTTCCTCCAATGGTGGTGTAGTTTTCTCTCGGTTTCCCCGTGATCATTCAAACAAGGGTGCCAGTGTAAGGTCACACCTTCAACTCAAGCCTTCTGCCTTGGCTACTAATTTGTTGGAATTTTAGCATGTGTTGCTTTCGGGGAACTTGTGCATTTTTTCCACTCAGCACACAACGCAAAAGAAGTCTTGAGCGTTCGGCGCCAGTTCGCCACAGTGAATGACTGGATTTGTGCCGATTTGGTCGCCCCAAACGTTTCGGGGGGGGGAGGGCGGGGGGCTCCATGCATGGGGTTCACTTTTCTGGGTGAACGTTTAGGACCATCTTACATATTTGCCTTTCACCTAATACCATAGTTGAATCCTCAGTTTAGGGTTGAAAGTTGACCAAGTGTTGGGCCGCTTTGAGCCCATAGTGACATGCTTGGTTTATCAGTGGGGACAGCCGAGGACACCATCGGCAACCTCCTGCGCTCGCTGCGGCTCCTGGAGGAGACGGGCTCCGCGAGGCGCTTCGCGGTGGGGAGCTGGGGAGCTCTGACTTTCTGGTGCGGTAGGGAATGAGAAATGGAATGACCCCTACAAACCATCCCACAAGTGGTTTCCGTAAGGTTTCCGTCAAGGTTTTTTTGGTTCATCCACACATTCCCTGAGCATGCCTTGTAGTTTCCGCGGACCCTGCGTCATTCCCTCATTCCCGCATTCCCTACTGAGCACCAGCTGGTTGATGAATCCCCATGCCTGAGATCTAAAACCCAAACCCACAACAGCGAAGGGGAAAGTCTTGGAAAAAGCGTCGGGGGATCAAGCCCTGGAGGAGGCTCAAAATATTTGCTCTTGTGTTTCCTGTTTTTCCCTGTGGTGGCCAAAAAACAGTAAACTCAGTAATTGCAAGAAAGGAAACACATATAAAAGTAAAAAGAAAGGAAAGACATGCCCAAATGGTCAATGTGCCTCGTTGCACAGGGCGAGGCCGCTCTTTCTGGTGGATTTGGGCTTTTGTGTGAAATATACATCGCGTGTTGCCACCCACTGAGGCAGTTTTTGCTGGGAAACAGCGGGTCAGAACCACAAAACACGCTTTTCTAAGTTGCTGACAAGCATGTGTCTAACAAAATCAAACACAGTTTGGGCATTTGTAGCTATGAAAAGCCCGTAAACTCATAGCACAAAATACTGTAATTTGTTTTACAGTCACCGTAAAACCCTCATGCAAAAAGGCAATATCTTAGAACAAGTTTTTGTTTGCCGTGCAACGCGGCGTTTTTTGGGCAGCTTTTTCTCCCTGGTCTTTGTGGCTCTAGACCTCCATGTGCTAGTTACTAGTTCGCGGCAGGCCTAGCACTGGGTTGACCTCCAACCGTTGCAAAGTCTCGCAAGTGGCGATTTACCGCTTGGCGGCTTCCGCTAGAGACCCATGGAAGAAGGCAGCCCAGCCTAGCCCAGCCCAGCCAGCCCAACCAACCAGGCTGGCTGGCTGGTTGGTTGGTTGGTTGGGGTGGGTTGGTTGGTTGGTTGGGGTGGGTTGGTTGGGTGTTGGGCTGGGTTGGTTGGCTGCTGGGTGTGTTTGGTTTTGTTTGTTTTGGTTATGTGTGTACATGGTTAACATCGTATCGAAAATTGTTGGGTGAGTGTGTTTTGGTTTGGGTTGGTGGTTGGTTGATTTGTTGGTTGGTTTGTTTGGTTGGTTGGTTGGTTGGTTGGTTGTGTGCGGGTGCAATGTTGCTTTTTTACGTCGTACTTAGCATAGAGGAGTTTGTTTGGGGGGCCGTCTGCGCTGTCCGGGTTAATGTATTATATATCCGGATGTTTTGGAGCTTTGGGGAAAAGTTTGTGATGGAGACGACTTTGCCGGACTCCGCGACTCCGCGCAAGAAGCTTGAATTTGCGGCTTGCTCCGCCGGTGCGTGGCGGAGTTGTGGCGGAGTCCGGGTCGTGGGCATGTGATTCCGCGGGCCTGTTTCAACGGAATGCGCGAAAATTCGCTGCGAGTATTTTGTTTGCTTGTCACAAAGATTGTTTGGGGTTCTACAGAACCCGGGGCCGTGTTTGTGAAATTTGTTTGTTTGCGTAGGGAAAGAGTTGCACATTTTGTGGATTCGAAGTTAAAGGTGTGTTATAAACGTTGTTGAACGGGCTAGCAGGCTTGCGTTTTTAAGGTTTGTTGGGTTGAAAAGGACGTTTTAAAATAGGGCCCGAACACGTTAGTCGTTTTTGGTTTTCTTTTTTGGGGCCTCCCTTGTTAAAGCAATAGCATGTTAGTGTAGGTTGTTGGGACAAGCTTTTTACTTGTACGTCGACCGGCTGAAGCCGCGCATGGTCTGGCGAATTCAATGAAGACGCCGTCGTGAACTTGGGATGGACAGGCTTCAAGAAAGCCCACGTAAGTTGTTTAGCAAGAAAGACGAGCGGGCAAAGACACATCCCATTTCGCGGACCCGCTCGGCGGCCCGCGAAATAGGTCCGTGAAAAGTGGCCCTTGTGCCTCGTGAAGATTGCGCCTTGCCTCAGACACCGGCATATTCTTGCCCGCCGGTGGCCGGACACTTGGTTGCTTTACTCAGTTCCTGAGTTCCTGAACTTTAAACTTTTTGGGAAGACCATGTTAGTGGTAAAGAAAAGTTCCGACTTTTTGTGGCCTATCCACTCAAGTGAGTTTAGAGGCAAGGCCCAAGCAAAAGCGCACTTCAGGTTTTCCGGCTATGACGGCGAGGAGGCCGAGAGGACGAGTCTCGGCAGAGCTTTGCCGTCGGCACGATGATCACGTTTGTCTTGGACGCCATTCACACAACGTTGTTTTTTCCTGTAGCTGCCTCTTACCGAGTTCCTGGGGGTGGGGGGGTGAGTCTGGGATGTTTATGATTCATAATGTTTCTTGCTTTTTTACTTGTTTGTTTTTTCGACAAACCTACGCATATGTTTGCTGGCAAGGATGCTCGTTTGTTGGTTTGCAATTCTGGGACAGAGATTGGCTTCGTTGCGGCCATGTTGCCCTTCACCTGCCAAAAGGATAAGTCCACTGGAGCCTCTAGGCAATCTCTTTCTTGAACTTGTATTTTTGCTAGATTAACCTGATTTCCAAACTTCTTTGCGAACAATGATGTGACCCTGCAACACGTGCATGCATGTCTTATTGACATGCTGTAGAAACCTTGAGCTCTGAGTATTTTTCTTGCCATGTGCTTGCTGCTGAGCTTTGCCTTTCGGGAGTTGTGTGGTTGGTTGGTAGATCAGGTGGCTTAGTGGTTGATTTCTTTGTGCGTGTGCTTGCTGGCTGTTTGGAATATCAATTGGTGGGCTTACGTGTTTGGTTTGGCTTGGTTGGTTTGCTTGTTTGGTTGTCCAGTATGCTTTTTGGTGCATTGGTTGGTCATTTGGTTGGCCGGTCGCTTTGTTTTTTGGCGGTTCCCGCTAACGTTATGAAACCCTTCCCTTCTATATCGCACAAGCAACAGGCATGTCACAATACGGGTGTGTCTTTTTTGAGGGAACCCCACAATTTTAGTTGTCCTTTTTGAATTTCTTTAAAACCACCAAAAAGGGCGGCATCCTCAACAAAGACAGACCCATCTCTTGCAGAATTCAGGGATCGCCCCCCTGACTCGCCTAAGGATTTGGACGAACTACGCGGAGGCGTTGCAGTGGCCTTGGTGGGTGTCCACCGACTGCCCCTTCGCCGACTTGATGTTGAGGCGCGATGCATCAGCGTGGTGACGCAAAATCAGGCATGGCATGGCTTTCTCGCACCGGCAAATACCACAAGACAGATCTTGGAAGGATTTTATAGGTGTTTGCTTGGCTGGTTGCTGAGCAAGCAAACGAGTCAAATCTGGAAGTTGTTCAGCGTCTGGACATTGAAGGGGTTTACTTGCGCCTGGAACTTGTTACGTTTCATCACACACTAGTCGCTTTTGTTATTTGCATTTTGCCAGGCATATTTTATCTTATCACGCTTCGTTTCTGCCCGGTTGATGCTATTTAGGCATCTCACGTTAAGAATCCACTCGCCAAAGCCTGCATGTCGAGCCTGCGCCATGAGCACTGACTTTGGGTGACATTCAGTAGGCACGCTGGTGCAGAGCCTCATGTCCTTTGAGGAGAACAGAAGCTTGAAGAGTTGGACGGACTGTTGACCCCCATTTATGCGCTTGGGATTAGCAATCGCATAGACGTTTTACGAGTCAGCCGGTGCTTCATGAGATTGGACACTCCAATTATCATCATCCATTGGCGTCACGGAATGTTTGAGAGAGATGAGCCGCTGCTTTTGTGTTCAACAGCCGGTGTAAGACGTCGAGGTCGTTTGCGTGTTTTGTCCAACAATTGTGCAATCACAATTGCAGCATTGGCTACAGTCCGGTCATCCGTGGGTCAAGAATAGGGTAACCCCAAAATGGCTTGCCCTGGTAAGAGGAAAAAATGGACCAAAACCTGCTGTCCCCTAGTGGTTTAATTCTGACCCATACCCCGGTGATGATCCGCCCAATGCCGGCACCCTCCAACTTGGGACTGGGAACCGAAGACGACTTCAGGCTGTGCCTGTGGTCCGCCTGCTTGCTGTCGGCGCCTGGCCGCAGGTTTTCATCTTGTGGATTGCATGACACCAGTGGACGGTGCCTTGTTTGCTTGGTGGTTGACATGAAGCAGGATGTTAGGTGTTGCTTGCTTGCGGAGCCCATGAAGACTTGCCACTCAGTTCAGATTGGACTTACCACCTGAAGAATTGAGAAGATGAAGCCGGTTGTTGCAGGAACCGGGGGAGGTAATGCAAAGCGGCAAGGCCGCCCGGCGCCCGCAACAAAAGGGAGTTCTGGCTGACCTTGGTACAACAGCAGACAACGCCGTCAATAGTTTTTAGCAAAATGCAAGATTCGCTTGATGTTGTGGGATCAGCAACACTTTACTCGGCAAACCTGTGCACGGAAATTAGCTGATACTTTCGAAAGACTAGATTCACAGGAGCCCACCAAGCGGGCAACGAATAACCTAGACTCTCCATGACCGTTTAAAAATGGGTCAATGACCCCATTATTTTGGGTAATGACCAACCATTTTTTCAGGGTCACGGAGACAGGAACTGACATTGCTTACCTTTGGCATTGCACGATGCAAGTCGCTTCCGGGGTTCAGAGGTGCGGATGATGCCTACTGGACGGACCAGGTTTTTTCCCCAGCTGAAAGCTTTGGGGTCTCAGCCCAGATAAGCTGCGGGGTGGTCCGTTCCACGAGGGTTCCACCAGGGCTCCACGAACATTCCACGAGGTTTTGCAAGAGATGCGGGGTGCGAGCACTAAAAAGAGCTCCGCATGCTGTTGGGGATATCAGCTGAGCTTATTTTGTTTTGTGAAACAGCGGACTGTGGTCATGACCCAAGAGTCCGAGAGCCAGCAAGGACAACAGCCACCAGAGTTGCGAGCAGTTCAGTCAGGCCCTCAGTACAAAGACCTGCAATATGTTGGGCTGCAGAGCAGACATATAGGATCTTGTGAGGATTGTTTCCAAAGTTAGTGTCCCGGGTGGTCCACTCTAGATGCCATTTCGCAATTACGCTCAGGACCCACTTCTGCAAGAGCTGACAAAGAGAAGCATGTGCCAGTGTGAAACTTGTTGCAGTTCATCACTCCCTGCTGCTCACAGGCTTGCCATGGCCACACTGGCAAGACATGTGGTGTGTCCGCCAAAATTTGTGTACGACCAACTCAGCTTGTGGCATGGCGCAGTTTGTGCAAGACAGCCGAGTTGCCAATATGGCCGTGGGTCAACACCAATGTGATCCCATTTTGGAGTAGGTGCACCACCCAGTTTAGTCTATTTTAGTGGGGATTGAATCGGATGTTCACTGGGGGTACGATTGGGGTTTTGACCCATGGCCATATCAGCGATCATCTCCTATACGTTAAGTGCAATGTCGGACTTCCAATGACTTCCAATCGGATGGCCAAGGGCTCACGGTCCGCACATTGGCACAGAGACGAGGCAACAGCCTGCAATTTGTTCAAAGCAGCGCGGCCGTACAGGAGACGATTATAAGAGCTCTTTAGTGCTTTGCTCGTTGTTCTGCGTGAGGATGCGCAACCCCAGGCAAACAAAAGCATCGAAGTATTCATTTAATGGTACCGATTCGGAATTCAAGCTGCATGGTCCCCAGGTGCGAAGCCCATCCTGCTGAGCAGGCGGAGAGATCACGGCCACGCGGGCACGGGGACGGACATATTTCCTTTTGCCCCGTTTTTCAGTGCAAGAAAGCCGATAGATGTTTCCATGGCAGCAGCGCTCACGGCTCCAAAAGCCTGCAGTTGGCAATAGCTTCCAATGACTGGCTTCATTTTGGATGTTGAGCAAAAGCAAGTATCGAGAAGCCTACCAGGATTGGGCGATTCCCATCAACAGAAACAAAGTGAGATCACAAATAAATGGCTTAGACCGTCGTTTTTTGTTTCTTCCTCTTTTTTGTTCCCCGGACATGTGGACAGAAAGCCAAAAGAGGCAAGCAATTTGGTGGTTTAACCACATTGAAAAACGGTGGTTTCTGGTGGTTTCTGGTGGTTTAACGTCACATTGAACCATGGCATTGAACCACAAAAAGCTCGCGCTTTTGGTCGCTCAACTTGGCACGACGCAGGGATCTCCTGGGTCACGATGGATCGCACTGGGCTTTGAGGCACGCGGGGTCTGGTGGATGTGCATGAAAATGAGTGGGTGTTTTTCTTCTCCGTTTTTTTTTCTTCTTTTTTTCTGAGGGTACCGGGGTTCAAAGGGAAGGCTCAAAGGGGTACCGTTTTTCTGAGGGTACCAGGGGATGTCCTGTGTACGTTGGTTTCAAGGGAAACCCAAAGGAAGGACCATCATTTGGTGGGCAGCGGGGGCACCGCCTGCAGCACCTCCAGGCAGCCAGATATATTCCCACAACCCCTTTTTTGCAGGGTTGCAAAGGGAAGCCAAAAAGGAAACCACCTAGCTGGAGGGGTTGCCGATTTTGGGAAACATCAATGGCTCAAGACAGTCTTGCATCCTGTTGCCTTGCAAACAGATGATGAACATCTTGGCAGTCCACGGAGCGAGCGAGCAAGTTTGCTTTAGGTAACATGCGCTGTGTTTGCCGACTCGGCTCCAAGTCGCCGACATGCCCAGGTTTTTGCATGCACGTCATCTCTCATGTTGTAAGAAGCAAAGGCAACAAGAGAAGCCGCAACCGTCCTCCCAAGTGCCAGGAGTTGGGAGCAGCTCTACGTCTTCTTGAACACCCGCTTCGCGGCGTTCTTCTCAGACTGGGCCTGGACTCCCGGCAGGGGCAACCGAATCCTCGAAGCAGTCAGCTCTGGCCGCGGCAGAAGCATGCCATGCCTCATGCAGAGCAGTATCTTGAGCGTGCCAACTTTGACACATGTGGGTAAGTAGGGTGGCAATTCGCAGTTATAACGCAGAAACTTAGGAAGAGAGTCGTTTTGCATGATATTAATGCTTGTTGGTTTAGGTGCAGTTCTTTCGACAGGTGAGCCACAATCAAAACCTGGGTAGACGAAGGTTAGTAAGGGACAATCCCAGCCATAAATAGCTGCGGATTTCCGTCTTCTTAATTCTTGAAGCATGGTTCTGGGATTACGACCATTTCAATACCGGGTTTTGAGCAAGTAGCTCAGGTGTTCCTGGGCGTGGCACGTGGGGGGGCGGTTTGATTCTTTTTGCTGAGGCGCGGCGCATGCGGCTGCTGGCAGCATGGAAGCTGAGCAGGGAGGATTACCCAGGCGAAGTCTTGAGACGGATGGGATGGCGTTCAAGACCTATAGGTTGCAATTTTGGGTGCCAAGGGAGCTCCTCTCAAAGCGATAAAGTCGTCAAGATGGCCCGCCATGTGGCAAGGGAGCCCCCCTGTCAAGTGATGAAGTAGGTTGCCACGTGGCAAGGGAGGTCCCATGACCTGTGTCAACTGATCAAGTTTCCGTTTTCTGTGCCAAGGGAGCTCCCCTTAAAGCGATGAAGTCATTTGCCATGTGGCAATGGAGGTCCCATGACCTGTGTCAAGTGATGTCGTCCAATGAAGTCGCCCAGTTGGGAATCACCAAAAACGTGCTCGCACCTGACGCGAGGCCTGGACTGTGAGGGCGACGGGCTGTGGCCCTCCGGCTGGGACTGGGCGGGACATTTGGAGAGGCCCGGGGCCCGGGGCTGTGGACGGGGGGCACAGGTATGGGCTTCGGATGAAGGAGCGTCCTTCGATTTGCCAAGAAGCTTTCATGAGTTATCCCATAATTGTGTGCGATCAACAGTCCTCGAGTGACTGTTTTCTCAGTATGTTGCTTCATACCGCAGCCCGCATTGTCAGTCTTTTAAATTACACCCGTCCTGTCGTACGTACGTCCCTCCGCAGGATCTCTACAAATGACCCCAACCAGTTCTACGAGCCTGGCAGGGAGCGACCGCGATGTGTTGTTTGGTGGGGTTGACCTGCTGGAATTAAACAGAATGAGCGAATGAGCTACTCTGGCAAGAGCCTCCTTTCGTTGGTGGTGCTTAGACCAGGGTTGCCTCCTCAAGAAGTCTTTCCACAAGTGCAAGTGCTGATGCTCATTTCGGGCTTGTTGTTTCTTTAGCTCATGCATGTGTCTTGCATCACGCACGGCATCAGCAGAAGCATTCGAACAAGCAGTGGAAGGGCTTGTTGTTAATGAGTATTAATGAGCATCTCAACATACTGAGAAGCACGATATGATTCAACGGCCTAGACGAATTACCGTTTTGCGGTATGCCCCTGGTTTTTCAAGCATATATGCTTGTTGCCAGGACTAAGTTTGCAAGCCCACCAGGCGCTAAAAGAAGGGGCAGCCCACAAACTATCTTATCTAAGAATGTCCTAGAATTTTTGAATCGGCGCTAGTTGCCTGCATTGATCGGAGAAGGTGGCTCAGTTGGCCCTTGATTGTGGACCTGCCTCGAAACCAATGGTACGTTGGCGAACGTCGCTTGTTTGCCAAAAGGGGGTGAGGAGTCGCTTTGCTACGCAGAGAGTTCAGAATGACGTGCTAATGTGACTTGTTCAAATCGGCATTGAGAAACATACGGCATCGGTTTGCATGATTCTTTGTGACGGGTTGCTCCCAGGAGGACCGAGAAGCAGAAGGTGTGGCTCGCCAGCAACAATTGGCAATCCGATGGCACAAGTCACCACATACGTCCCTGCCGTGATGGGAGTCCTCATAATTTTAACATGGGCAAATGAGCTGTTCTTTCCTGCGTCAAAAGGATTTGCCTATGCCTGCTGCACCGCAAAGCAGGAACCGGTAGATGTTGAATATTCATAACAATGATGGGTGAGGTTTTGCCAGGCTGAGCTAGGAACGAGTCAAGTGAGCGTGGAGGGAATTGTCAGTGACGTGTTGTTTTGAGAAGGGAGTTTACAGGTATATTGTTGCACTATGGTGATGTTGCTGCCGGATGATTGGCTTTGTCATGAATTCTCGAGAGACTTTCAGAGAGTTTGCGTGGCCGGAATTTCTCGCAACATACATTGGAGACAGGCGAACCAGCACCAAGCATTGGGTGGAGTGGGCTTTGGCACAATGCTATTTAGGTACAACTGTGGCCAATTGAAAGAAGATGTTTCAACCAGTGCGAACGCTGCGCTAATAATGCCAATGCTTGTTGGAACGCATCAGTTCTGGTTGCGCTGATTGCATAGCTCGCTGGCCGCTATAGCCTCGGGCTGTTTCAGGCGAACCGTCCCGCGCTGAGGCTGTGGACTTCAGCATGAACCCCGCGGCCTTCGTAAACATCGAACAGAAGGCCCCCACTTCGGCCGAACAGTGCAACATGTTTGGGTGCCCAACCAAGCGACTGGACGAAACATTGGCATGCATGGACATACATAGACACGCGTTCGACATGTCGTGGGTGTACTTAATGTGTCTACTATTTGTGCATTACAAATCTTTTGTCTTCTATAGTTCGGCTGCTGTTACACGTGAGCATCGCAGCAGGAGTGCTGATGCGTGCAAAAGGCGCGCGCAAGAAAGTGAACTTTGAAACGCTACAGCATTCTTCCGCACGTGGTCATGATGATTGTTAGGGAATCATTCTCCGTCGTGACACACCGGCCACTCCAGCATACGTTTGCATTTGAATCGCCAAGAAGTCACTCCAAATGTTCTGTGTGGGGCATGTTGCCGGGCCGCTGGGCTCTTATGCCTTGGCAGGGCAAGCGTTTTGCGCGTTGTGGCCAGTGTTGTGACAACTCACATGACCTACGCAAGCACAAAACAACATGCTGTAGTGGCATCCTGGCAGCCCGCTTTCGAGCACTTGGCTGCTGCCTTTTGTGGGATAATATTGGCAGTGTTTCACTTGCGGCGGATGCTGTCGGCTGCTGACATCTTGCGCCCCGGAGCGACTTTTTTCTCAACTGCTTTTTTTGTTTTTGTCGGGCATGCGGTTGAAGCAAGTAAATGCTCGGCAACAGCTTGCCATTGCATGCCAAGCCGGCTTTGTTTCGTGTGGTATGGAGCCGTGATTGCCTTCTTTGCTCATTTCCTGGCATGTTCTTCTAGACAGATCAACCTGCGTCTTAATGCACGGCTTCGCTGATTCGCTCGCTTCGCAGGTCAGAGAATGCCCCGTGGGCATGCTGGCCATGCTTTCCCACCAGGTGCTGCTGGGCCTGAACAGCGTCTCTGAGCAGGCGCACGCGGCTTGAAGCGCAACTCGATCAATTCTACTTGCAGCAGGATATATATGTTCTAGAACCCCAGGCTTTTGGCAGGGGCGGTGTGGCCTGGTAGCCAAGGTGCTGCCATTCAGCAACCAACCAACCAACCAACCAACCAACCAACCAACCAACCAACCAACCAACCAACCAACCAACCAACCAACCAACCAACCAACCAACCAACCAACCAAGGATATATATATTATGTTGACACATGTGGACCAAGTATGATTTCATGCTGGTGTACGGATCATAGCGCGTTGACCAGTTGACCATGGTTGCACTTGGCCTCACTTTCAGGGCTGACCTCCAAGTTTCAGGGCTGAACTTGCCTCATGTACGTATCTTCACGAAGCTGCTAATAATTGTCGGCTGCAAATTTGGTGGTTTGGGTTGGTTTTTGCTAGCTTTGATGTCAAGGGACTAGATATCGGTTGCCCTGCGTTTAGTGGGGGGGTGGGTGGGTGGGACTTTGCTAGTTCGGGCGTATGTGATTTGGTGCATGATATGGCAGCTGCTTGGCAATGAGCTTGCAAACCCCAAGCTTCCATGGTCATCCACTGCTGCACCAAGTACAAATGCTTGAAAGCTTTAGCGAGCCTAGCATTTCCGCAGTCGGCAGGCCTAAGATGCAGCGATATGTGTGCGCTTGATCGGTAGGGTACAGACTATACTTGAGGAGCTATCAACAATGCAATGGCTGTGATTGCAGCATCAAGTGTACCAGCGGTTCGCGGTTGCAAAGCATTGGCCAAGCCGTTTATGTTGAGGAGATGTTCAGGACTCGTTTGAGGCAGATTGTGAGGAACACTAAATGGCAGAATGTCAGGGATGATGCTTCACGCACGCGCCGACGTATGCTTCTCTCTCTCTCTCAGGCGCCGCTGACGCTTTTCCTGTTGGTCAAAGCTGCCGACATGGTGGAGCAGGAAGGGCCCTGGGGGCACGCAGGGTTCACGGTGGCCGGTTCATGGATTGTTGCTGGTGAATAGCTTTGCTGGTGAACAGAGCAAACACAAAACAACAATAGCGCGGGGATTTGATTGATGTAAGGAGCTAAACATCTGATAGCATTTGTCAAGCGTTTGCATCCGCACATAACTCCACTTTTCCGCTCTTGGTCTTCCGTCTTTTGGGGGCGTTTCTTGTGTTTCATGTTGTTTTGGCTTGAGACGCTCAGATGTTCATATTTGCTGTGTGGCTATCAAGTTGGTGTGTAAGACTCCCCTCAATTTTCATCTTTGCTGCTTGTGAGATGCTCAGGTTTTCAATTATGTGGTGGTGGTTTTGCTTTCAAGTTGGCCTTTCTAGGTCCCCCAGTAGTGCCCTTCTCTCCCCTTTTTTGGTTGGGAGGGTTCCCTTACTAAAGTAGACGAGACAGGGAAAAATTCGGGTACCAACTTCTTCCGAACCTCTACTGTAAAATAGACTACAGAAAAAAGTTGGTAGCCTTCTTCCAACCTCTCTACCGGGTACCAACTTCTTCTAACCGAAGCTCTACTGGAGGACCTAGATGTAAGAAAACCTGGTTTCTGATGATTCCCTTGTAAATACCAACCAACGTTGTGGTTTCCCATGGATCCAAAGTCATGCGAAATGGATTCGTCCACAGGGTCTTGCTTTCATGCCAGAGTCATCATGCTCAACGCAGGAACCCCTCTTTGTGAAGGGAGAACAGGCTGTGGGCTGTGAGCCTCGTTTGGCGGACTGGAATGTGTCACGGGGCATTCTAGACGCCCATGCAGCCAAGCCAAGTCGGCCCCTGCGTGAGGCATCGTTCTTCTAGGGGTTGATTCCCCATTCTTTTCAACCATTGTTCTTTAATCAACAATACACCAGCATAGACCCCAGATAGCAAAATACAGGCCAACAATTGCACACCAGCACCTCTGACAGCACCCCCCGAACAGCAAACAACACCCCCAACAGCATCCCAAAACAGCACCTGCACGAGAATCCCCAAACTGCATCCCCCCTAGCACCTTGCCGTCAATCTCCGTTTTACTTCCTTCGAAGGCTTTCAGTCCTGGATCTGCTGGCAGCCTCCCTAGAGGTACCCCTAGAGTTCTCTCTGGCCGCTCGCTCACCCGTCAGAGGCGCTCCCGGATTTGCTGCCGCGGCTGCTGCTGAGCCGCTGGCCTGTGCTACCCTTCCTCAGCGCCGCGGCGCTGGTGGTGCAGTGGAGGCGATTTCTCGCTGTTGCTCCATGACTTACATTTGCTTAAGAATATGTCGTTGTTTTTTCCCCCTTTTTTTTCCTCTCTTTTTTTCTTCTTTGGTTTTACATATTTGTTTTCCCTTGTTGGTTTTAAAAGGAATTCATCACTACTGGGAAAAATAGTATATATATATATAGATTTGAATATGTTTTCCAGGGGTCTTATCCAAATGGAAGATGATGTCTAGGGAGTTCACTGGTTTTCATGAAGGGGTTTGGGTGTTCTTGGTACTTATTTATTTTGTTAGTTGATTTTTTGTTTTTGTGCCTTGTGTGTGAGTCACAATCAGCAGCGACTGCCTGTGTTGTTGTTCGTGTTTCCGTTGGGTTGTCCTTGAATGACAATCAAGACCGATTCCGGTAAGGGACAGCCGCAACCATAAAGGTTAGGCTTTGGATAGACCACTGGTTTTCATTACTCAAGTACGTACTCCCAGTTGAGCAGTTGGTTCAGTCCTAGTAGCCCTGTTGATTCCACGCTATAAAGTGTTTTCTGGCAAGTTTGCCATCAAGTCTCATCGGGTCCGATCTTGGTTCATGGCTTCATTTTTTGGAAGGTTTCAGCAGTGCGAATGTTACTGTGGACAGCATTTCGCTAGGCAGGAGTTGGTAGGTGCACTCAGTTTCGAGCATCCCAGCTTGTGCAGGAGTTTGCTCATGCAGGATGAAATTAAAATGGACCATGCTAGGATGAAATAAAGGAAAGTTATGCTTCCCCACAACGAGTGGTAATATTGATATGCCCTGTGGGTAATTTGGTGGTAGTGTTCCCTGTGGGCGAGTTCCTTAAAAGTTCCACAAAGTTCCACAATGTTCCATTTTGTTGCAGTTTTGCATTCCGGGAACTGCTCGAAGTACAAAGTTCACACATAGCAGCTGTGCCAATCTCGATGCTGGAAGCTCCTGCCTGAAAGGAATAGGCATGGCTCAATTGCGCGATCGCCCGATTGGTTTGGATCGGATTGGCGGTTTGGCGGTTGGCTTCCGATCCCCAAACCACCAGTCCGAAGCGCAAGAGGAAAGCCATGTCGCAGGATTCTTTGCTCAAGGATGGAACCACGAAACCATGCAAAGTCAGAGTTGTTTTTCTGTGGGGAGCATGATCCAGTGTAATTTTACTGGCTGACTGAAACTGGACAAAACTGGACCCTGGGCGTAGTTCAGGTTTTTTGAAGATTGCCATGAATATGATTGGTTTAGTTGGCTCGATAGTTGTTTGCCGTTTGGCAAGCGAGCAATCGATGTTTGCTTTGTTTGTATGTGCGGTTTCACTCTTTCTCATTTTTAAGGTCCGCAGGGGCCTTTGTTTGCTTTTGTGTTGTTCCACACAACGCGTAAAATATGAGCGCCGCAGTGAGCTTTTCGCCCTAGGAAATGCCATTTGAACGATGCTTTTGCATTTCTGTCTCTTGCGGATTGCATGAACAGTTCAGCATGTTTTGTTCTGTTGGTCACACACCCCACCCTCCTACCTCCCCCCCTTCCCACCCACCTTGGCTGCACAGATATATTTATTGCATCCACTGAGTTGTTTCCTTTTGATTGATTTTATTTCACAACTGCCTTCCATTCTTATCGAGTTTTATCCACGTTGGTGTGTCTCAAACATTTGGCACCACACGAAAATGATTGATGTCCTTTTCCTTTTGATTCCCTTTAAACCAATCAAAGCAAGAAGCCTCCAACAAAGACCAACCAAAGCTGTTGTCCCTCAAAGGGACAAAACCTGTGTCAAAACCCGCCCTGCGCTTCAACTGGGGCCTAAGAGCCAGGTCCTCTTGGCAAATTGCTCCGCGGTACCAGCGCCTCAGACAGAATCGCTGGACCGGGACCACCACTGGGGCATAGTTTTTGCCCGTGTTGTCTTTTTGTTTGGGAGGCATGTTGGGCAGTTCCTTTTTTTTCCCCTTGTGTTTGGCGGGGGTGTCTACAAAATCAACTTCCAACAACGCCCGTGATTTATTAGTATTGTTGTGTTTTCACTTGAAAGGCAACTAGCAGAAACGGGTGCCTTGTTTTTTAATGGCCACTTTACACTCAACTCCCCGAAAATTATGCTCTTTCTTCCCGTAATTTCCCCTATTGCCACTGAAGGTCTGGGAGACTTGGCCTGGCCTGAGCGACGTGTTTCATTTTCTACGTGGCAATAGTGAAGCAAATGCAGTCCAATGAAAGCAATGTCTCCATGCTTGTGGATTGGTAAGTTGCAGGATGCACATTTGTCTGAGCGGCCGAAGACCAAGGTTTCGAATGCTGAAGCTGCAATTTGTTGCTATATGTTGTCTTTGTGTAGTTGCAGCTGGAGCCCACATTGAAAGGAAAGTAAAGCATGTGCCTTTGACTCAGTAGCGGTTGTTCCTTCGCGATGTCTAGCTGTAGTTGCACACGATGCCACCTGATATCATACAAAAAAAAGAGACGGGCACCAATGGCAATTATAGCCGTGCGTTCATGGAGTTTTTACCTCCTCGGCACACGGCGGCACAAGGCGGCACCACAACAGCCTCCCAGATGGGGCCCACCCCCAGCTGACAGCTCTCAGGAACAAGCCTTACCTCCTCGACTTCCGCCCGGAGGAGCTGATTTTACCCTTAGAGGAGCAGCAACAGCTCCCAGTGCCCCAGCAGCAGATGTGCCCTTAGAGAAAATAACAGAGAAGTTGAAGTGATTGTCTTTTTTTGTTGTCTTGTCCTTTTGTCTCTTTTTCTGCATGTGTGTGTGTGTGTGGGTGTGGGTGTGTGTGTGTGCTTGTGTCACGGACAGAGAGAGCGAGTTTCCTTGTGAATGTGTGGGTGCACATGTGCTTCAATCAACCCAATCATGTTTTCAAAGGCGGAATTTTTGGCCCAGTCAGAATATGCAAGAGTTTGTTCCCCCAGACACGTGCCTTATTGTGCTTTCCCAGCAACAAAAAGCAATTTCTCACTTTGGCACCTTCCTGAGACCTTGCCAATATATTGTCAATCTGAATTTCTTATGTAGCCCCAGGGTTTGAGAGTCACAAGACTTCAGGTGTTACAGAGCAACCAAGACCACAATACCACCCCTGATTAGCCATAGCGCACTGGAAGCAAATTGTGCAACACAAGTTCCCTTTGCTTCCCAGTGTAGTCTTATTGGCCCGACCCAGAAAGACATGGACCGGAAAGGGCTGGCAAGCACAGACCCTTCAAAGAACAAAATTCCAAAACCTTGATCAGGAGGGGGTGGGGGGCGGGAAGGGGTTGATTGATTCGGAGTCAACATGACAAATCCACCTGGAATTCCATCAATTAATGGTTCCACTTCCCCTTTGGTAGCGAAAGCTAGCTAAATGTATGTGGGAAACCTTAACCCTAGCCGCCTCCCCCTAAAGATGGGGGTATACTCATCCCCACCGCTACACGCGCAGGGAGGAATTCGTATCATGCGACCGGGCTCCTTTGGACAATGTTTGTGCTTTCTGCATTGAAATGCCACCTTGTACAAATTCAAGAGTTAAACTTGCGTCCTTTCCATTTTTCCTTGCATGTACATAATACAGCTATATATACACTATGTAGAGCCTAACTATTCTTTACCCATCATGTTCAGGGTAGTATACAGCCAAGTAAATACATACATACATACATGCATGCGCATGCATGCATGCATACATACATACACACACCTACCTACCTACATACATACATGCATGCATGCATACATACATACCATACATACGTACGTACATCTATGCATACATACGTACATACATACATGAATGCATGCATGCATGCATACATACGTACGTACATACACACATGCGTACATACATACGTACATACATACATGCACATGCATACATACATACATACATACGTAACATACATACATGCATGCATGCATACATGCATACATACATGCATGCATACATACATGCATGCACGCACGCATGCATACATGCATACATACGTACATACATACATACGTACATACATGCATGCATACATACGTACGTACATACATACGTACATACATACATGCATGCATGCATACATACGTACATACATGCATGCATGCATACATACATACGTACATACGTACATACATGCATGAATGCATGCATACATACATACCATACATATGTACGTCCATCCATGCATACATACATACATGCATGCATGCATACATACGTACGTACATAACTACATACATACATACATACATACATACATACATACATACATACATACATACATACATACATACATACATACATGCATGCATGGCTGCATCCATACATACATACATACATACATACGTACATGCATAC